CAACTTTTTTTCTTGGTATTTATATTTAGATGTGTTAAACAACTTAGGACATACCACCTTTTGTTTTAACCGACTCATTTTTCAACTGAGCAAAACTATTGGAACACGTGACTGACAGGTGTTTCTTGTTGTCAAGATGTTTTCCTTTTAGGTTGATTGTTTAAACATTAAATAGCTCTGAATGACTACTCTTGGTTTTAGACTTGGGTTCCACCTGTAAAGACTGTATTTCTTGTTGAAAAGGATAAACTAAGATAAAGACGAAAGAGATATCTATGGGAGAAAGGTAAGCCATTTTGAAGCTGAGAAAAGAAGGAAAATCGACCAGACATCGGGTAAACATTGACCATAGCCAACACAACAATTTTAAAATGTCCTAAAAAAAGAAAGTATTGATGTACTGAGCAACAAATATAGAACAGGTTGGCCAAGGAAAACAGCAGCTGATGACAGAAACATTGTGAGAGCTGTGAGGAAAAACCCCCAAACAACAGTCAGTAATATCACCAGCAATTCCAAGGTGCAAGGGTGAAGGTTTCACAATCCACCGTTTGAAGAAGACTTTGAGAGTAGAAATATTGAGGCCATACCACAAAATACAGCATCCCTCGTTAATGCGCATGTGTAGTCGCGCCAACGTAACAAATTTAGTCCGATGAAGTCGGAAGGGACGAAAACATCACACAAAAAACTTTTCCACTTTGTCATTCATATTTTCCCCAGAATATATATATATATATATATATATATATATATATATATATATATATATATATAATATAAAAAAGCTTAAACACTAATATTCCATGGTCATAATTTATTCAATTGGAATGTAAATACGATTAATTCATCAGACCTACAAATATATATTTATATATTTTGTAATTTGTAGGTCTGATGAATTGGATCGTATTTACGATTCCAATGGAATAAATTATGACCATGGAATATTAGTGTTTAAGCCTTTTTATTATATCCTTACTCTGTCCTGGACATTGAGTTCTACCTGGATTCTATCCTCTTGGAATAATTTTTTTTTTATACAAATATATATGTATGTGTATGTATATATATTTAGATATTTTGCATATGTATATGTATATTTACCACTAATATTATATATATATATATATATATATATATATATATATATATATATTACAATGAATCATTCATACAAAAAGTAAATTAGTAAAGTTAAATTAGTCAAAGATAAAATGGCGAATCCCCTTCGCTAACTAAATTTTAAAAATGCATTAACCCACTAAACACTCGATGAATGTTATGATCTTTGTTTTTTATTATTATTATAAACTGTATTAGGTCTTCCTTAAATATGCAACTACTTTCGACAGGTTCTTCGGTCATCATCAGGCATGGAAACTATTTTTTTTTTTTGGAGTGGGGGTAAAATTCAGGCAGCATCCGAGAGGAAAATATATAATGCAAATCGAAATGTTTTTTTAATGTATTATTGATAACAGATACAAACTTGTGGAGCATGCAGTCACAACGCTATGGTTGAATTTTTGAATATTTAAGTGAGAGCGTTCTTTACTAATAGGGCAATTTAAGAAATTTTTGTTGTAGGTATTTATCAGTCAACGTGGCATGAACTAAATAGTGCAATAACTAGAGCAATGTCTCAGTTGTTTCCCGAAAGTTTGCACGTATATGTGTGTGTGTGTGTGTGTGTTTGTGTGTGTGTGTGCATGTGTTTATGTGTGTGTGTGTGTGTGATGACTGCATCTCATGGTTAAGTATGGTCATCGCAAGATATCATTTCAAGACTCACTTGTGATATACCATATCAAGCAAAATGTATTCATCAAACGTTTAGAGAAAAAAGTTGCAACGAGTAAATCGCGCTCTCTCAACGAAAACATGTACCAAAAAAGCCCGGTGTGGGAAACCGGTTTAGTAGTCAATGGCAGGTAGTACTAGGTTACATAATACCAGTAACACTCATGGGCTAACCTGAATACACACACACACACACACACACACACACACATATATATATATATATGTGTGTGTGTGTGTGTGTGTGTGTGTGTGTGTGTGTGTGTGTGTGTGTGTGTTAATTAGTACATATACGTGTACCTACGTTTTGTTGTGCGACTAAAGTTTTGCTGCTCGTCGGGCACAAGAAGATGCATGTATAAATTTGACAATTATTTATTTGCCTGCCCGCGCATGCACACTAGCACGCACGTATACCCTTGCTTATATCTAGTTGTTTGATTTATCTATCATATATATATATATATATATATATATATATATATATATATATATATATATATATATATATATATATGATATAACGATGTATAATTTTGTATAATTTTATATATCAACAAACAATATTTAGAAAAAATATGACAAACTGGAAAAGTTTATTTGTGACGCGTTTCATCGGATTGGGCTTTGTTGACGTTACCACCTTAATTGGTTGTTCACCGTAACAAAACGGATCACAATTTTGACAAAGGAAATGCTATTTGATTAAAAGAGAAAATAATTCACTGAGACGAAAATGTCTGGAAAGTGCCTTGATCACTAGTTCAGACACGATAAATTTGCGTCCTGGTTCTTACAATATATCGCCATTCTTGGTAGATTTTTTTTTATTGCCACAGTGTGCGATAGCTCAGGGACAAAGCTGATGGGGAGAAAAAGAATACAGATGAATTTGGTGAGATTGAAAAAAATATTCTTTCAAAAAATTTTAAAACTAGCCGCATCACTCATTTCAGTTTGATTGAAAAGAACAAAGATTGTATTTTTCCAATTTTCGGGTTAGTTGTTGAATAATGTACTCGACGATTTAGCGTATCCCGCAGAAGGTATCTTAAAGTGCATATTAATATAATTAATGTGAAAACATATTTTATTATAATAATAAATAAAAATCAAAAATTAAATATGAAATAAAAATTTAGATTAAATTAATAAATAAATAAATTGCAATCTTTTTGTGTGTGCTCGTTCTCAATGACATCATGCTAGTCCATTTCAAACGCCCAGATTCCCAAAGATTACAAGGACGCAAAAGAATTCTAATTACCACACAGACACCGCGACATCGGTTCTGGATAATGACTGCGAAAGTCAAAAGTACTTGAACAAAAATATGAACTACAGACAGTTTATTCACAACTTTGAACACAATACTCAACACATCCGAAAATTGAAAAATATATTAAAATATTAAACAGGCAAAACTTGTTGGTTCTTTTTAATCAAACTTGTTTGAATGAATACTTATTGCCTAAATATACCTTTATATATATATATATATATATATATATATATATATATATATATATATATATATATATATATATATATAATTTAATTAGAAAAACAGATAACCTTAAGTGTCCATTGATTATATTTTATTTCCTCAGGAAGGTGTTTTTTCCTGGCTCTTCAGATCACATTTGAAGCATAAAAAATGGTTTTAAATTTACGTTTTATTTTTATACGCCTTTGAGGGGTGGTTTTAAGTTTATGTAAGGTGATAGAGAGAGGGTGAGTAGGACGACGACAGATATGGTCGAAATTAGAGAAGGAAGGGAGAGATAAGAATAGTTTTAAATCTATTTTTATTAAAATACTTAAGAGTAAGGGAGCGGGTAAGAATCAAACATTGACCTATTTAATAAGTCATCAGGCGGATTACCAAACTTTTCATTACCTAGCTATATATATATATATATATATATATATATATATATATGAGTTGAATTTTGATATGAAATTGACAAGAAAGGAGATTACGTTTAAAAATGAATATATATAAATTATTCTACATGCAATGATTTACATATATATATATATATATATATATATATATATATATAAAAGTTTTCTCCCAGTATATCTATGTATCATTATGCATGCACAGTGTAAGTTGGTGAATCAATATGTGGGCATATACAAAAGTCTATATGTATATATGTACCAATATCTTTCTATGTGGCTATATGTACGACTGTGTTCTTTTCTTTTCTTTTCTTTTTTTTTCCTGGCAGACATTCAACCTTGACTGTCACATTTTTTTTTTTCTTTTTTCAATTTCTAAGATGTGTTCAGCGTAGAATTTACTATAGTCGTCAGGAAAAATACTCCATTAAATATCGTTTCATAAAAGAAAATGTCGGGTCGATATTTATTTGCCAGTTCAGAAAAGTGGGGGAAGGAACGTTTCTCTGGGGAAATGGCGTCTTTTCCCTTCTTAGACTTAAGTGAGATCAGTCGGTCTTGTTTCTTTTGTTCATTGGTTTGTATGGAGAAACGCAAGCTGTTTTTTTCTTTGCCTTCGGCCTGCTACAGAACGCTTCTGCCAGAACTTCAAACAGTCTTGGAAACCTTTTGGTTTCTAAGATCTTAAGAAAAGATTAACATTTCAACCGAGAACTTTACTGAACTCAAAGCAAAACCTCTTCTACCTCCAAAGTCAATCAGATAATTGACTTGACATCTTTTCAAACAGTTTATTTATAAAAAGAAGTTTCAATTTGCGTTTTGCTAGTGCACGTCTGTAACTCACATCACAAAAATCTGACAGGTTGTTTTTCAAGAAATACATGTTTACTCGAACAATGTATCAACTAATATTTTAATAAAATATATCTGCTGGATCGTTTGCGCTATCTTGTAGTATAAGACCTATTCTTCACTCTGCAACCTCTTTCCAACAGACGTAACATTGCAAACCTGTCGCTATTATGTTGCTATTTTCATGGCAAATGTTCTGATGATCGCTCTATTCTTTAGTCCCACTAGTTCTTACTTTTATTTCAAACATCTTATTAACCATTGCCATTTTGAAGACATTTAGTATTTTAAAAAATTCAACTGTTTCTAGTTCGAACATAACTAAAAAAAAAACCAATAAGACTCAGTAAGCCTACAAAATTATTGCAAAATCTTTTGGTAAAAACTAATGATTTCGCTTATTACAATTGGGATGATCTTATTTACAGTCTTTGCTAAGATAGATAGATAGATAGATAGATAGATAGATAGATAGATAGATATGGACAGACTGAAATAGAGAGAGAGAGAGAGAGAGAAAGAGGTGCGAATAGATTGAGATAGATATGAAGATTGCGATAGATAGATAGATAGATAGATAGATAGATAGATAGATAGATAGATAGATAGATAGAGAATGTAAACAGACTGAGATAGATATATATGTAGTGAACAAAACAAGATCTCGATTTAAAATTCAAATGCTAAGCACTGACTCATTGATTTTGTTAGCAATTAAAAAGACTCGAATTTACAAACTTTGCTTAACACACACGCAAAAGCGAATCCAAAACAAAACTCGTGAAATTTCACACCTTGATGAGAAATGTTTTTCGGCCAATAGAAAACTAGGAAACATTTAAAAACAAAATTCAAACAATCTTCAATTCTCAGAAACAAATTCTTTTACGGACCTTTTCGCGAGCCGATGCGAAGTTTGTTCGTCGTCTAATGGAAAGGCCCGAATCATGTCCGGGATATAATTCCCAGATGATCTTTTCAAGCCCCACAAACAAATTAAAAAACGGGCAAGTTTGCCTGTCACCAGAGAGAAGGAGGCGAGCATATTAACACGTTCCTTGACAAACGTCAAGCGATCGTTATTATTATCTCTACCTTTCTCCCTCACCTCTTTTATACTTGATAAATGATACATACATACATACATACGTTCCTGCTTACGTACACATAAACTCTTTCTTGCAAGGACTACTACGAACATTTTCACGACCTTGTATCAATCAAAATACATTAATTTTATTTGTAGAGACCTTAATTCATTTATATGTATATAATTCTGTTGTTTCACTTTACAATTTGACTTTCTTGTTTTATACCACTCTTATGGTGGGCTACCTAACTAACAAGGCCAAAGTAATTTGTTTCAACACTCACAAACTTCACTATAACTGATAACCCACTATAGATATGAACAGACTGAGATAGATAGATAGATTAGGTTGAGTCATAAATAATTTCCCTTTTTGGGAACCAATTGTGATGAATGAATATATCATCCTAACCACTAATCATACGTGGCCGTTAAGAATAAACTTGGAGTACGAAAACGTAATTTACTCTTTGCACGGCAATGGCAGCGTACAGAGTGGATTAAAGGAAAAAATGTATCGCTTTCATCAAAATAATACAGGGAAAACATTGTAAGTTAGTTGGTATGTTCTTCCTTCACCCGCCATATTCATCCTGTTGGCCAAAAAAGTCATCAACAGCAGATATGACATCATCATCATCATCATCATCACTGCGATATTGTTTCTCAGCTAAGTATATTTTTTTTTTTCATGTTAGGAAACAAATGATAGTCAGATGGCACGCAATCAGAAGAACAAATAGGATGATCAACCAGTTCAAAGTCACAGTCATGTACAGCAGCCACTGAAGCCATGTCCTGGAGCATTGTCCTGATGAATCGTTAGTTTTCCTTGGCGTTTGTTCTTGATAATCTTTCGTAACTGACTCAATAAGTTTTCTTCATTGATGATGTGGCTCTTTTGAAGACAGTCAATAAACACAATGCCTTTTTCATCCCTAAAATCAGAGGTAATCACCATCCCTGCAGATGAAAATGACCTTGTTTTTCTTTTGAGGAGGGGTATTTCCACTGCATGAATTGTCTCGAGCTGAAAGTGATAAACCCAACACTCATCCTGGATTAGGAAATGTTCAAGAAAACCAGCTGGATCTGACTCAGTGTTAGATTTTCCCGTGGTGTGATTAGCCTGAAATGCTTTTGAGCAGGTGTCAAAAGACGTGGTACCCACAGAGCAGAGCCCTTTGTCATGCCAAATTCATTGTGCAGAATATTCTCAACTCACTCACGAGATATGCTAATAGCATTGGTTATATATTGGATTTATAGTCAATCGCCTGTCATTCATCACCATGTGATCATGAAAACGATCAGTGTTTTCCTCGGTGGTGGCTGTTGCACAACGTCCAGACGTTTGTTCATCTTCAAGACTCTCCCTTCCCCTCCTTAATTCAGCTACCCACATTTGCACTGTTAATAAAGCTGGAACGTCAGTGTAGCAATCATATCAGTACGAATGTCCTTAGGGATAAACCCTTTTTTGCAGCTACTTGACAACACCACTAAATTTTGTCCATTTTTAAGAGAAGTCGCTGTTAGTTTTGAAGTCTTCTTTGAACAGTCACATATTAGTTTATCTGGAAAGAAACAATGCAGTTATTCATAAGAAAAGTTTAAACTAATGCAGGCAAGATTTCACAGCTCTAGCATCACTCCTTCACAGTCTACCTATGAACATTTCAGTGCACACTCGTAGATAGATAGATAGATAGATAGATAGATAGATAGATAGATATTCCTATAAAGTTATCTTTCACCTAACATAAGCGGTTGATTGTCCAAAACGCCATATAGAAAGAATTCGAAAAGCGAATACGATGTCCAAAGCTTAATCTCAAGCTAAAATTGAATTTATTATCAATTCTTTAACGAATATGTCCATCTTAACTTCATTTGCTTTTTATCACATTCTACAATCGTTAGTTAGCAACAAGTAACAAAAATACAGAACAAACTTCTAGTGCAGTGGTTCCCATTTTTTTTCTCTGGGCCGCATTTTCGGAATTAAAATTTGATCACGCTTCACCAAATTTTATGATAAAAAGTACATTTAAAAATTAAAAAAAACAGAGAATGTTAAAGGAAGATAACCGTGGATTCGAAGTCTGAACATTATCATTGATAACTCTCTCCTCCAATTTGCGGACCCTAGTTACTATATTCTTAATACAAAATGATATAATACAAAAATATCACAATGATAAAACTATTCATTTATAACTATTTATACTAGGACTCATGCATGCAATTACAAATAATCCATAATAATATTTTAAGTTTCGAAATCATATTTATTTTTGGCATATAAATTTTTGGAAACTGTTTCTAAATATTTGATTGTCTTTCAATCCTTCCGCCTCACTTGCTATCCTCTCTCGCCGCAAATATGAGGCGCGCCGCATTGTTTAGGGACCACTGTTCTAGTGAGAATCAAACTCTCATACCGTTTTGGGGGGGGGGGCTGGTTTAAAAGATGTTTTATCAACTAGGCCACGAAGCGTTCCAGTATTTCACATTTATTCACATAGTCATTCTTTATCTTCTTTACCAGCATATGACGTCATCATTATTTCTACATATTGGTAGCATCAGTAGTAATATTATATTTTGTTGATTACTTAGATGAAGCATTGTCAATCATTAATTTTTTAAGCTGAACAATTAATAATAATAAACAATTTCACTTAAGAAATTAAAAAGCAATATGGTTGTTTTTTTATGAAATTTCTAGCTTTCATATTCAAATTTTAGCAATAATTGCTTGAATGCCTTTAGTCAAGAAGGATTATAGATTTTACAAATAAAAGTTGATTGCCTGAAAAGACAATCTTTTTTCTCTGCTTCGAAATTGGGATACAGAGCCTTTTGGTTTCTAAGACTTTAACAAAAGATTTAATATTTCAACAGAGAATTTCTTTCCGCATTCACTTACGCGCAAATACTCTTGTGAATCTACACCCTAGCTATGGGTTAAATAGTAGGACTTGTATCTGGAAAAATCATTATCTCCAAAAAGTTGTTAATGCAATATTCACTCGCAGAAATGAATTATTCTTACACTCCTTAAACATATATTTCGGCTTTAAATAACCCACAAAAGGTTGATAAGCTGTAAAAAAAAAAATCAATCCACCAAAAGATTCGGTGTTGAAAAAAAGAAAGAAAATCGTTTGAGTACCGTTTAACCGGCAAACTTAACAAAACAATATGACTCAAGATGGCGGCTCTGACCAAAAGAGATTTTTTTTTGTCTTCTTTTTACACACTACTGAATTAAATTTCCTTATCAAAAATGACAAAATTAATATCATGCACGAATAAAGAAGGATAAAATTCTTGACTTTTTTTAAACGGGGAAATATTTATCATACTTTCAATCGTCGAACAAATTCTCTTTGTTTTCTTCCATTTTCTCTTCTTTATTTTGCTTGTACACAGTCTTTAAGTTTTTCAAGAACGTAAGGAATTTATTATCTTCAAACTGAACGTATTTTTTTTTTCGGTAAATGTATTATACGGTATAGCATTACTAACATTTCTCTCCGGGTTGCCTGTATTGGTATGGACCTCTTTAACGTTAACCAAGTTAATTCTATGTGTGTGTGTGTGTGTGTGTGTGTAGGTTGTAACAAGCATAACCCTAACCCAGTCATAGGAAATTTAATTCGATTTTTTTGTGAAAAAAAAGAAAAGGTTATTTACTAAGCGGGCCATCTAGAATGTCTACTTCTTTGCTTGGTGCAACCTGCAAACGGCAGTCAAGCCATAACAAAAAAAATACAGACACGTAGTCCTTTGTTTTAACGATTAACAATAGTTGTAAGTCTTTTTTTATGATCATATCAATTGTTGACAGAAAAATAGCTATGAACTTGAGTCACAAGTAATTTCCGTTTTTGGGAACCAATTGTAATGGCGAATGTATCATCCAAACTACTAAGCATATATGGCTGTTGGGCACCTCAGCGTGATATAATAGTTAGCAGGCTTATCTCGATAGACCAGTTACGACTGAGTAGTGAGTTTGATCCTCACTAGGTATCCCATACTTTCGACCTTGTGACACATCTAAGCTAAGCTTAGGAAATAACCATATGAGAATAAACTTAAACGTAGCAGCATACACGATGGATTAAAGAGAAAATGTTGCCGCTTTCAACAAAATAACACAAGGAAAAATTGTAACTTGATTGGTATGTTCTTCTTCTACCGGCCATTTTCAATTGACCTTGTATCAACCGATTATTAACTTTTTAGATCGTTGGAATGGGGAAAACTTTTCTCTAATGAATACCAGCTTCTAAAGTATTCTAGAGTATTCTAGAGTCACATGATCTAGAATATTCAAGATTGTAATGAAGAGTATTCTAGGTTGATGTAGAGCATTCAAACCAGCTTCTAGAGTTTATAGAAAAACTTTATCACGTCAAAATATCCGGAATTTTACTCAAAAGGTATTGAAGACTTGCCTGATAAGTCATTATAAATAAGGATAAATATATAATTGAATAAAATGTAATTGTACTTTTTGAAGAATAAAGTTGATAAACAGAAATTATTTATGGCCCAACCTAATACGTCACTACAGGAACAATTAAGGCGGGAACAGAATTTCTGTTTTTGTTAAAAGTTATATGACTGACTCGGAGAAAAAAATGGTCAAATGTTTTTTTTTTTATCATGGGAAATCGGTAAATTACAGGTGCCTCTGAAAAGAAGACACTTAAAACTGTCACGAGATATTCATATTGTTTAACCATACTCCTCTATTTTACCAAAAATGCGACGAAAAGTCTGTTGTAAAGTATGTGGTTGCGTAAAATATATGCCCATGACACACACAACTATTTTTAAGAAGCAGAAAGACGACGACGACAAGTCGAATGAGAGTGAGGAAATTGCAGTAGACAAAGAGAGAGTAATGAAAAGCGTAAAGGACAGAAAAAAAAGTTGAAAAAAGGAAATGTAGGAAAAGGTAAAGAAAAGGCACTAAAAGAGGAAGAGAGGAATGAGATAAGTATGCAAATAAAATAAACAAAACGTGAAAAGAAGTGAAATAAAAAGAAAAATAGTTTCTAGTGAAAATCGAAAATTTATTCAATCCATTTGTCGAACCTATACAGAATAATAATACAAAAAATAACTTATAAAAAAGAGAATTAAAAAAGTGTAAATAATCTCGTGTAGATAATCCCCGTAAACTTTAGTGTAGATACTTCCCATTACCACCGCCGTCACCAAAAAAAAACTGCACTTCCAAAAGTTATGTTTGACGCCTCCGACGTCAATGATGACTGACATGGGACCAAGACGTTGACTGGTAAAGACTGTTTTGTATCTGACGACAGTTCGGGATTCGCACCTACTTTAATCACGAAGTTAGGTCTACTACACTATCTCTCGCCCACATAGCTGAAAGGAAATGGAACCATTTGGAAGTGAAGTGAGACTACGTTACGCCTGCCTCGATGGAGCGATAAAGAAACCAAGGGAAAATGAAACCAAGAACACTGAACTATATTACGCCCATCATGTTGAAACCAAAGAAATCCTTCACAGGAATTATTTCGTCTTTTACAAAACAGTGAGCTGTTATTGCTCAGGTCCAGCGACAATATGATCGAACTAATTGTAATGACGAATGCATTATTCTAACTACTAATCATACGTAGCAGTTTAATGGAGTATACTAAGATAGATAGATAGATAGATAGATAGATAGATAGATAGATAGATGTGAACAAACTGAGATAGATAGAGAGAGAGAGGTGTGAACAGACTGAGACAGATATGAACAGACTGAGATAGATAGATAGATAGATAGATAGATAGATAGATAGATAGATAGATAGATTAGGTTGAGTCATAAATAATTTCCTTTTTGAGAACCAATTGTGATGAATGAATATATCATCCTAACCACTAATCATACGTGGCCGTTAAGAATAAACTTGGAGTATGGAAACGTAATTTACTCTTTGCACGGCAATGGCAGCGTACAGAGTGGATTAAAGGAAAAAATGTATCGCTTTCATCAAAATAATACAGTTGTAAGTTAGTTGGCATGTTCTTCCTCCACCCGCCATATTCCCCTGACCTTGCACCTTTTTCAGTCATATTGTTGACTCATTCTGTCTTCGAAATGTCATAGTTTACAATTTGGATGCTCACCTGTTTTTATTATATGTTTTGCTAAAGCACTCACAACGTTTGTATGCTCGTTCCTTATTTGGTTGTGTGTCTTTGTATTCAGTAACTTTACTGCAGTTTCCAATCCACGAGGATAGATCGTTTTCATTCCTATATCTATGTAAAGAGGGGATATTTCATCTATTCGTCTTTGTACTTTCTTCCACTGAACAAAATCCAGGGATTAAAATGAACAAGTGTTCAGTCCTGCCCAACTTAATTATGTTTCAATCCACTTGGCCATGTGTCTCTTGGACAAAATTGTGTTGATATTGTGTAGCCTTAAAACTAACGTCTGTACTCAGATGTCGGGACTGGGTGAGTGTCCGGAATCTGGTGGTGGAACTTTATGAGAAGATTACTTAGTACGACAAGAGACTTCTGAGGAAGGCTGAAGGGTAAAACGACTGAAATGTTGTGAGTATATTAGACAAGATGTGCAAACTGGTCTGAATAGTAAAGCATATAATAATGATACTGCCAGACACCATTACCAATTCCACAGTTCTTCTACATCATCTAGAATATGCTGCCACTGATGTTGGACTCTATGTCAATGCCTCTAAAACTTAATTCATAGTCTCCAACCAGTAAGACAGAATGCAGACTGCCTCAGATGAATCAATAAATCTGTCGAATCTTTTACATACCTAGGAAGCGAGATAAATTCTACTGAAAAAGATGTGAAAATTCGCATAGCTTAAGCCTGGGCCTCCGCCATGACTAAAAATGGATGCATTCTGGAAATCTTATCTAGCAGACAACCTCATTCGGAGATTTCTTTCGAGCTACTTTTGAGTCGGTGTTAATTTATGGTGTCACTGCTTGGATATTAGCTAAAACCCTACAGTCTAAGCTTGATGCAACCTACACTCGGATTCTGAGAAATATACCTAACATCTCCTGGCGACAACATCCAACTAAATCCCAGTTCTAAAAACCCATCCCTGATATTTCTACAATCTTAAGCGAACACAAAATGCGCTTTACCGGATACTACTGACGAGCAAAACAAGAACTCACGAGTGATTTATTGCTCTAGACATCTAGCCATGGAGCGAGACGAGTTGATCGCCCAGCAACCACCGATATTGACCAACTATGTTATGACACAAAATTCCACCTTAATGACCTTTCGACCTTGATGCAGGACCGTGATGGTTGACGTGATAGACTCATGAATATCCGAGCTAACTCGACCGAGTAAAAAAATAATGTATGTGTGTTCCTGCATTTATGTTGTTGACACTGAGCAGAAACGCGCTGGTAGTTGTATAGAAGACGTCACCCCCCCCCCACACACACACACCTCCTGAGAGACGCAGAAAGGAGTCCCTCTCGTGCAATGTATCGTGTCTACTTCTCACGGGATGGTCTCTGACACAAAAGTGGACACAGAAACACCCTCATCTACCAATATCACTTTCCGTGCGAAATTAGTCACAAAGTGTGTAGCTGCCTCGTCGCATTCCCTTAGATTGTCAGTGAACTCACTCGGCATCATAAACGTAAACATCCAGATAATCAGATTGATTTCGGAAGATTCGCCTCTACTCATTGTGGAATGACTTGCAGACCACTTGCTGGTCTTATGAGCCATTTAAGGCATCATCAATGACATGGAAATCACCCCTAAAATATTAGTTTGGGAGTTATGAGTTTAGAGGTGGACTTACTCGATCACGGGTCCACTTCCACCATTTATGTGTGTATGTAAGGTGAGTTGGTACAAGAAATCGACCCGCTCATAAGCTCCAAAATGTTTCAATAATATAGTTAAATGTAACCTAAACACTGTCTATATTTCTGAGATGAAGTATTATGTACATTATTTACATTATTCGGACTATTGTCCTCATCTTTGTCGCCATATTTATTACAACGTTTCGGCCGTTGTACGTTCCGACCTTCTTCAGGTGGTTAGAATGTCGAACTTAACCCTTTATTTCGCTCACTGAGGTAGACTGTTCTAGTTCCATGTGCCATGTTTAATGGATGTCAGTTATCAGTTATCTCCTGTTAATTTCCCTCTGAAAATTCTCCACTGCCTTGCAGATGAGATTGATCCTGATGAGTAATTTAGCAATTAAAGGATTGTTTGTTTTTATTTCTCAGTGATGTAAGTACGGATAGTGAATCTGAGAAAACTATGAAACTCTCTCGTTTATTGTCTGCTATGATGTCTAAAGCTAAATCTGTCTATAGCTTCAACACTAAAAATAGAGGAATTATCAGGTAAGCTTTTTTTTTATTATTATTATGTCATAATTTCCAGTCACTTTAATTTTCAAAATCTTAATTCCAATGTCAATCGCTACCTACTGTCTTCCTGATTACTCTTCTTTTGTTCTGGCTCCTTAGCAATATTATGTTTCTAACTCTTCCACACCTAGTAATCCTTTGTGGCTTTACTGTTTTGCCTGGGATGAAATTGATTTAAAAAAAAAAAAACTTGTTCTACCATCCATTTACTGAAGCTCACTAAGTTGGACGTTGTTTTCCTATGATTCCTTCTTCTCGACTGTCATCATCTAACAGAATTTTTTTATCCAATTGGTCAGCCTTTATTGATTGAAGAGTGATATATGTGTGTCCTATTCTGATTCTTGATAGGACGACATCTTCTTAATTTTGTAAAGTTTATTGGTTTGATGGTATTTACATAATTCTTGCCCCTTGTTTAGAATGCATGAGTTTATAGTTGCTTTGAAGTCTTTATAGGGGATTTTCAAATTTGAAATGTTCATTATTAAGGATTCCTTTGCTGCCATGTCAGCTTTTCCATTTCCACGGATACCGATATGGCTAGGTACCTAACGGAATTTTTTTCTTGTAGATGAGATTGATCCTGTTGAGTAATTTAACAATGAAAGGATTATTTGTGTTTTTGTTTCTCAGTGATGTAAGTACAGATAGTGAATCTGAGAAAACTATGAAACCCTCTGGTTTATTGTCTGCTATGATGTCTAAAGCTAAATCTATGTCTATAGCTTTAACACTAAAAATAGAGGAATTGTCAGGTAGGCGAACATCCGACTTTATCAATGTTTTTTAACCTATCAGCGTATGTGCTTATACGAAGACCGGCTTAAAATTTCTTATTCTGACCAAGATACTCTCATGGAATGTGACCCAATGAGGTTTATTTTTCATCATAGTCTCTCCCGTGCTCCACACTCTTCTTCCATCGATTGTACAGTAACTGGATTCCACTGGTGAAGAATCGTTCATCCAGTTGGTCAAAAATGTCATCCACAGCAATACTGGTTCCCAGCCAAGTGTTTTGGTGAACAGATGATAGCCAAATGGGGCCAGATCAGAAGAACAGGGAGTCATACAAAGACCCCTAGTTGAGAACCTCTGATCTCATTGGTCAGCCTTTATTGTCTGCCAGGAATTCTAAAGCTAAATCTATGACTATGGCGTCATCACCAAAAATGAAAGATTTGCTAGTTAGGTGTTTTCGTAAAGGATTATTGGGAGAAAAGGAGAATAGAGAAGATCAAATCTTTTATCCGATCTTTACGACATCTTGATGCTCTTTTAAGGTTTTATCTTTCTTACAATCCATGGCAAACATTATATTTAATGAAAAAAAATAAATATCAATGACTATACTGTCTAATAAATCTCGAATTGCATAAGAAAATATAGAATATTGATTCATTCCTTGAACAAAGACTTATCTTATCTTTTTCACCTTCTCAGACAGATAATGGGTCGTATTTAGGAGAGTCACGCTCTTCTCCAGTGACTGTAGTAGAAGACATGGCAGCCGGCGTATGCCTCAGCTTTGTGGAACTGATTCTTTCTTACAGTGTTATTCTGCGAGGTGGGGGGTGTTTAATAGATTTTGCGACTCCATATCACCCTGCTGTCTGCTTTTCTTTACCACTGTTGGTATATATATATATATATATATGTGTGTGTGTGTGTGTGTGTGTGTGTGTGTGTGTGTGTGTGTGTGTGTGCGCGTGTGAAAAATTTCTCAGAGTTAACCTGAGACAATATTTCTAAATGTAAAAGACAATAGGAAAACTGTAATATTAGGCAACGCGTTTCGTCCAATATGGACTTTTTCAATGCAAAAACGAAATGGATTTATTAAAACGAAGTATATATTAATAACAAAACAAAATATCCTTAGCAACTGGAAGAATTTAGAAAACGCTATAAGTACAGATTTTAACTCTTTCACGAATACACACTCTTATAATGTTCTCGCTCACTTCCGTTGTCTATAGCAGTACTTGGAAGGATCATGTGTAGAGTGTGGTCGTCACACCACACTACAGGGGTTCCATCAGTGACCATAGCTTGTGCAGCATTTTTTTGCCAAACATTCTCCAGATATGCAACCACCATATTCCTCAGATTTCGTTCTTTGCGACTTTTTTTTCTATTCAAAAGGTTAATCCCACTTGAAAAGGAACAAGATTTCAAGATGTCGAGGCAATCCAAGGAGAATGCGACGAGGCAGCTATTGGCTATCTCAAAAAAAAGAAAAGAGATCCAGAAATGCTTCCAACAATGAAAACGACGCTGGATAAAGTGTGTGGCTTCAGAAGGAGAATACTTCGAAGGAGACTGAATTGATATATACTGTAGTTTTCTTTTTATACCATCAGAGTGGCGGAACGAAATGCGTAATGGTGCTCTTTTTCTAACAGACGGTGCCCAACTGACCCTACTATACGTGCAGTCGACAAATAACGCGCATGTGCGAAATTAAAAATATAAAATGGCGACAATTTCTCCATTACACTCTGTATATAAGAACTACTGGATTTATTTTAATCCGAAATTTTCATTACTTCAAACGTTATTATAGTGGACACTTTGTATTTGAAATGGGGCGTTTATTTCAAATTCGGTACGGATAATTAAAATAAAACTTAGATAATTCCCTCTGATAAATAAATAAAACAAAATCCAACTTACAGAGCCTTCATCAGATTATTCTGTAAAAACGACGCCAAATTAAATTGACTGCTTAATTAGAATTAAATAGGTGGTTGATCAATACATAAAAGGTCATTGGTTGGTTGTGACGTCACTAAAATATACCCACCATTCAAGCTATCAAAGTGGAAATGAAGGCCTATGTGGTATCCAGTCGTGAAGAGTTAGATCAGGGTTTGATAAACTCGAATTCGGCCAACCCTAGAAAAACATCTGATGTTGAAAGATCCGAAATCTCCGATGATCCCATGTTATAAAATATCACTGACAACACCCACCAGTGCCTCGAAAATTGTATTTCGCGAACCACACATAAATATATCTTCTTCTTCTTCTTCTTGTTTTGGGGGCGATCGTGGTTCTCCACGATTTCCTGTCCTTTGGAGCTCTTAGTAATGCCTACCTTTTCGTTATCTTTCTTAATCCCTGTTCTGACAATTATTTACATAATCTCGTTAGGTAGTTTATTCCTGCCTTTCTCTGGACCTCTTGCCTTCAATATGTCCTATGAGTTTTAATTTCCTAAGTCTTATTTCCTCATTAAGTATCCTAGAAATTTTAGATGTCTCTTTCTGGTGTTAAGAATGTGTCCTTTTTGCTTTCATTTTCCTTAAAATTTGGCCGTTGCTCACAGGTTCGGTCCATAGTATTCTTAGCTTCCTTCTGTAGAACCATATTTTTGTTGCCTCAAGTCTCTTCTTCATTTGTAAGGAGATTGTCTAGCATTCACTGCCATATGCACTACAGTTCAAAAATTTGAAGCCACCCACTGAATTAGCATGGATTGACAGAAGAGTGAAAAAAATGAAAAAGAGCTCTCAGAGTCATTGAAAAAAGAATGGAATCAATTATCAAATTTATACTTTGAGAAACTTTTGCAACGAATGCCAAAGGAGAATATTTTAACGAGAGCAAACTTTAATCATGAAACAATTTTTTTTTCTTTTTGTCATAATAAAATTTCTAATAAAAATCATGTCTCGCTTTTTTCAGATATTGAACTCACGCTTTCATCCACATGGCACAATGGATAAAAGCGTTAGTTAGATCCACTGACAGGACCCAAAGTGTCTGAGTTCAATACCTGGTTAAGGCGGTGGAGAACTTGATGAGGGGAATTAACAGGAGATAACTGATAACTGACATCCATTAGACATGGCACGTGTAACTAGAACAGTCTACCCCAGCAAGCGAAATAAAGGGTTCAGTTTGACATTCAAACCACCTGAAGAAGGCCGGAGCGTACTACGGCCGAAGCGTTGTAATAAATATGGCGACAAAAATGAGGACAATAGTCCGAATAATGTCAATAGTGTATTTCTTTAAATAGTACACACATAGATAGATAGATAGATAGATAGATAGATAGATAGATAAGTTAATAAATCCATTGGTATATGATCCAAATGGATCCTAGTAATATAAAATATTAAAACTGATCCACAAAAATAGCTCAATGCCAATAAATAGTAGGCAAGCGTCATACTAACTGTACCAACGATACCTCTTCGTCACCGAGGCCCGTTGGTACAGTTGGCATGTTGGCTGATATCATAATTGTCTGGGTTTCAATTCTCGGTAATGGATGTGCACTGCTAATGAGTCCCAACTATAGGACGAAACGGCCTTACAGTACTTTTTGCATTCTGTTGAGGTTTCTTTTAGGCTCGATGAATTACTTATATATATATATATATATATATATATATATATATTGGAATTGTTACCTGATGATCCGGAGTCCTTTAAAAAAGATTTTGATGAAATAAATTATTGTACTGGTACTTTAAAGTGGTCTGTTTTTCATTAAATATATATATATATATATATATATATATATAAGGTTGCTACTTATAAATACTCTTCCAAAGATAAATTAAAAATAAGTCATATTTAGTTAATTTATATTAAATTTAAGTAAGAATATATTTTTTTAAATTTTATATTAAAGAATAAAATATATTTAAAAATAAAAATATAATAAGATAAAGTAAATTATACATTTTTAACTTTAAGATAAATCAATTTATATTAAAAAAAACATACAAAGTTATATTTAAAACCTAAAAAACTTGACAAAATATATAAAGAGGAGTAAGATAAAAGGAAGGAGAGTTCTTAGAATAGGGGACAATTATAAGATATAATTAATATGGCGAAAAATGAAAATATAGAAATTAAAAATATACATTCGACATTTCAAGTGAATTATAAGGTAATAAAATAAAATCTATATCATGGAAATTTAAATTTGTTTTTATATCGATATTTTAAAACTAATTCATTCCTTTGATTTTATAGTTTGCTTTGATTATTGTATTTTATTATTCTAATTTTTTCTTCTAAACACAAGTTGCACCTATCTCTAAGACTATTAGGAGTATGAGCAAAACCTATAATTTTCCAATTTATCTGTGGGTTCAGACCTTTTGTAAATTGTAGGCATAGTCTACCTTTTACCTTAAAATCTGAATTTGATAATACTTTTTTCTCATAGTAATAATCAGTTGTTGAACTGCAGTGCACCTTATATGACTTACTATTTTATTTGTAAGTTTGATTTTGATTTAATATAGCTCTGTATTGATGTTTAGTTAGCATTATTAACATCTTATATAGATGTACAGGTGTTTAATTAGTATTATTAACATCTTGCATTGATTAGTTGGTATTATTATCATCTTATATAGATGCTCTTTATTAAATGTTTGCATATTAATTTACCAAAGTAGTTCTGTATTTTTTATCTTTTTTTTTTCAAACGGTTAAGTTATTTACCAGTTTCTTAAAGGGGCCTTTCTTTTATCAGCTATAAAATTTTATGTAAGAAGCTGAACGAACATATAACTGGTTAGCATGGTGTTAAATTATTTCCCTGCCTTTTACTTATTAGGAAAGTTGGACATAAAACTTCTATACATCTTACGAAATAAGGTAACAACGTGTATCTGTCCATAAGGAAATTGTCTAGGATTTATATGCAGACAACTTCATGTCATGAACTATATCAAAAATTTTTTTCGGTCACATTCGATTGGTTAATCACGACAAAGCCCACAAACCTATTTTTATTTTAAAGAGGAAGTATTCGGCTTTTGAAATTAAATTAATCATTCATTCGCCAGTAGGTTAACATCGCCCGAGGAGACACATTTGTAGTATTGAAACATAATTGTAATTGTGTAACGATTTTTAACATGTTTTTGTTTTAATATCCTAGAATAAATAATATTTAGTTCTACTCTGTATTGAGTCCTTTTTAAATTAAATGTTACGTACAGTGGAATTATACTCCATCTGTTCTCATTTTATCTATCTATCTATATATATATATATATATATATATATATATATATATATATATATATATATATATTGATTAAGAAAAATACCAAAATTTCCATTCAAATAGGTTTTTTTTTATTTTCCCAAGTACTTTCAGTCTTATCTGAGACAATCTTCAGTGGGTTAAATTGTCTGTGAATGTGTATATGCATTTCTGTAAATTCATAACATTTCAACTGTTCGTTTACTGCGTCATGCAGCGTTCTAAATTTCAAAATTCACATGTTTTTTCCACAGTATAAGGGAGGTAACTATTTTTATTTATTTATTTTTCTTATACATATATATATTTATAAATGTAAAAGACAATAGGAAAACTGTAATAGTTGTCGACGCGTTTCTTCCGATGTGGACTTTTTCAAGGCGAAACGAAATGAATTTATTAAACGAGGTAACTAATAATAACAAAACAAAATGTCTTTAACAACTGGAAGAATTTAGAGAACGCTATTTTCATACTAGTGTTAACTGAAATTACGTCAATTACTGTCACGTATCGAGAGATTGTTTTTATTAGGCGTTGTACAGGATGAACATCATTGTAAAAAATAGATAAGCCAGTGTGTAGTCAAGTAAGTTTTGGACATTCTCTGTGCTATACTGTGTTGTGCCCAGAGAGAAATGCGGTTTGCTGGGGACTGAAAATCACCGAGAGCAGAACGAGATACACCCTTAGGCATTCCGTAGGTAAAACGAATGTATTTATTATTGTACAAAAAAAGTACAAATCTTGCACGAGGCCAAAGTTGGGCGGTGGGAAGTTTTCTTCTAGCTTTAAACTGGCTAGAGTCTCAATCATCCGAAAAATATATTATTCCTTCCACCATAACACCACAGTTATGTTTGCCTGTCCAAACGACGGTCATCAAAATACCTCATTTACTCAATGAATTTCTTCACTATCCTTTTTCACTCTTGTATACAGATTTTTGTAATGTCATCGAACGGTCGGTCCTGGGTATGACAATAAACTACATCCGGCAGCAAGGCTTCTGATCGGAAGGTTTTGAGGAGCGTGGAATTGTCGTGTTCACTAAAACATCACACACAAGAAAATACTTACATCTTAAAACATACCAATAAAATCACAGAATACAAATCAGAAAGTTTGTTACATTAGTCATCATGATTTAGGTAGATACCGCCCAAATATCGTGCGGACGTAGTAGAAGACATACCACGTGGCTTTTTAGGGCCAGTTAGGAAGAAATAAATAATCTAATTCTGGAGCCGATTTTGTAACGAAAAATTGTATAAAAACATACGAAACCCAGCCTCTAACAGGATACTTACAACTGTCACCAAGTTCCACGCAACTCTCGCTTTGACAAACTTCAGACTACAGCAACACCGCCAACAGTAAGAAACAATTTTTATCTCTTGTATCCTCTTTACTATGAACCACGCACACACGCGTTGACTTTTTCATATAAACACACATATAACAACATTTCATTGTTTCTCACATTTATATTTTATTTCAGAACTTTATCAAGCCAAACAAAAAGACATTTCTTTCCAATCTATCACCAACTGCTTGTATTCCTGTCTTTATATTGAATTAATATTTATTTGTTAAAACTACGTTGTCTTTTCTACTGAATTTTATTCTTTCAGTGAAAATCGTGTAATTATCCTAAACGGACGAAATACGAGCAACCTTGCAACAATATTTTGTTATTGTATCTAATCACGACACTCCGAATTTAACATTCAACGAAAAACCGAGTAGAAGGATTCCTAGAGAATTACCTCTTAATTACTGCTGTTCCCAGGTCCACCATGGCCCGGGGTGGTAAAACTTGTTAGGGTCTCAGCTATGGACAAATAGTTAGCCCCAAAACTAAGGTCAAAACACTATGAAAGTATAAAAATACATTTTTGTTGTAGAAGTGGAAGCAATGTATATTCATAGTAAAAAAAAAAATATTACCAGCTACACATTTTTGTAAGGAAAAATATTACCAGTAATAGATTTTATTAAAAAAAAAAAAGAGATAGTAACAACAATACATTTTTGTAAAAGAAAAATTGCCAGCAATACATTTTTGAAGAAAATTACTAGCATTATACATTTTTGTAAAAGAAATTACAAATGCTTCGAAGAAAATTAAATTTCGGCATTAAATGACCCATATGGATGTTGATATGACGTTAAACAAAAAACAAAAACAAAACAATAATCTAGCGGTCGTGAAATTATTTGGCATACAAGTCGGATAATAATATTGACTTCCTTCTTGTAGTCTATACGCATCGACTCCCACAACGAGACTAGCAAACCAGAAGTGGCTAAAATTGTTCGATCAAAAACTCAAAAGGAAGTGTATAAATGGATAACAAATGTAATAGAAATATTTTCAACTTTTAATATACACAAGGTGCTCCAAAAGTCGCAGTTGTAAATTTTATATTTATTTACTAAATGGAATCATGTTTATGTGACAATATATCATTAAGAAACTGTATTCGTCGAATGATGGAAGATGATGTCATGAAATTTTTCCTGGTTGCTATTTCACGAGTGTATGTTTTCTGCCAATTATCGCGTGACTTTTGGAACACTCAGTAGACACTACACTCTTGAATGTTGCGGTTAATTGCTGTATTTGCCGGCGTCAAGGACGCAGTTTTTTCCTGAGATGTCTGTAAAATTTGCAGAACATACAGGAATTCACTTTACCGTCTGATATGGATAACCTTCCTATGGGGTTAGCATAGGCTAACGAAAACCCCTTACGTTCGCACAAACGAATTTTCGAGACTTATTTCAAGAAGAAAAAAAATGCGCCCTTGACGCCGGAAAAGAGTACTGAACTGTTATGTAATACCGTTCCTCCTATATGGCAAGTGAATGCGGGACAATCTCATTACATATGAAGAAGAGACTTGAAGCAACAGAAATATGATTCTACAGAAAGGATGCTGAGAATATTATAGACTGAACACATGAGCAACGGCAATGCCTTAGACAAAATGGAAACAGAAAGGACCCTTATACTTAGCATCAGGAAGAGACAGTTGACAGTTCAAAGGCACATAATGA